CAAAATTGCTTCCCCGTCAAATTCTCTACACTGGCATGTAATTGATCCGTCGGGTGTAGGACGGCAATCTTTACAGGTATTTGATGAAATATTGCAGCCAAACCCGGCTGCACTCGGCCTATCTTGACATTTTAGGTCTGTTGGGACTCCGTCTCCTAGAGCAACCGAAAATCCATGAGTAAGGAATGGAGTGCTCAAAACCGGAGCTGGAGGGTTCGTCACTGAAATTGGTGTAAGTGATATGTTGGCCCAATGATGGGTTAATCCCGGATGTAATGTGACTGTCTCCTCTACGATTTGGTCATTAACAGTGAGTTGTAATGTCGTCTTTATGTGAAAATCCCAAGTAGGACACTCGAAAAGTTCAAAAACATCGAGAGTCATAGGGATAGCATACCAACGGTAGAAATAGCAGCTGGCAGTTGGAAATCCGCATCCTTTACTCCATAGAGCGGAGGATTCCAAACAGCCACTGCTCCCGGGCTTGTCCATAACCTCGACTAGTTCGGGTATGTGTGTGTTTGCTCCTACTTGTGAACAGAAGCTACCAGAACATGATCCGCCACTGGGGCATCTCCATACTGATCTGGTACTTATACGGTAGCTTCGCAAATATGTGAGTGTCCTTGGATTGCAATTGAGCGTTAGAGCTTTGAGGGTGAGCATTAATGCTCCCAAAATGTCTCCTCTTTTATCCTTGATTAGAAGAGTGGTTGGTTGCCCTGCTGGTAGTAAGCTCAATGTTGTGGAGCTTAAAATCGTGCAAATTCGAGTACCTTCTCGTACTCGACAATTCTCTGTTTGTGAAATTATCGAAATTGGCTCTCCGATAATCAAATGGGCTAGGAACAAGAGGAGAGCAGGTATTATGCCATATCGTGCTAGTCGAGCAAGACTCGCTTGCCTCATTTCCTTACTCCTCTTTTGAGCTCCTTTCTTGAATTTTCGTGCATTTTCCTTAATGTTTGTTTGATTTTCCTTTAGGAGGTCTCGTCCTTTGCTTAATGCCTTGCTCCCTCTTCTTCTCCCCCATGTATAAAGGGGGCGCGTGAGTCTCCAAATTACTCCTAATGGACGGAGCAGTGTTTGGAGTGATTTGCAGCAACAACTTAGTATAAGAAGGAGAGGAAAACAAATTCCAATTAGAACCAAGGCAGCAGCCATTGGATTACAGGTTGGATTTGTTAGTAAATCAAGGCAGAATGTGCAATCCACTAGTTGACATTGGTGGAATGCTAAACATTTCGTACTAACTTCAAATGGTATTTCTCGGTTTGTGTCCCAAAATTTGGCATGACAGGTATAGTCATTAACCAATATTTCTTTGGGAAGATGATGAATTGTTTCTTCTTGGCCTGGTAGTAATTGGCATCGGTCTAAGCAACAAATTTCAATTTTGCTTATTTTTGGCGGTGAAAGGACATTTACCCCAGCCTTGCTACAATGGACTAAGCATCCATGGCAAGTTGGGCAGCCTTCACATTTAATTGGCGAAGTGAATCCCAATATAGGATTAATTATGATGGTTAAAAGGCAAGCGGCTAAAATTGATTGAATGCCTAATTTTGCCTTTCCTCTCGTGACCATTTTATGTTTTGAAACCAAAGCTGCAGGTTCTTTTGGTTTCTGCTTAAGGCTAGTTGTGGGAGGCTGGTTCTCGATCAACTGATTATCTTGCTCTTGTGGTTCAAGGAGCTCAGGCTCCTCTACCTGCTCCTCCTCAATAGGAGTAAAGCTTTCTACAGGATTACTGACTGGTTGTATGTCTGTTTGTTCTGTCCCTGCTTCGAGTGGGTAAATCTTGTTAACTGGTCGCGTTGTTATTCGACCATTTGGCATTTGGAGCTTAACGCTCCTTATAGGGCCTGGATGACCATTTAGCCCTACAACTCTGGCTAAAAGCCATGCATTTCTTGGTCGCATGATGTCTTCTACTAACACTACTTCTCCCAATTTAGGAGCTGAGTGTGTCTGTAGTCTTGGGCCAGCGTGCTCCCATTTTGAGCGATCACGCAGAATAACAAGATATTCTCTCTTCCATCGTTCCCAGAAGGAATCAAGATTTTCTAAAGTGCTTTTCCACAATGTAAGGAGCTGGTCGTGAGGGAGAACGTGTTTGTCCCTTTTGGTTTTCTTGAACGTGAAATCATAACTGAGTGTTGCTCCAGGCTGGATGAAATCCACTGGGCGTAAAGGAAGAGGAGCTCCTTCCTCATCTGATGTGTGAGTTAACGGTCTCGAATTGAGCGCGGCTTCAACCTCAGCCGTGAACGTTGCGAGTTGATCATATGGGAGTACTTGTCTTCCCATCGTCCTTTTAAAACATGTTTTTGCCATGCCTATGAGCCTCTCATAAATTCCGCCTGCCCAAGGAGAAAGAGCTGGAATGAATTTCCACTCGATTTTGTTCTCTGCTAGGTGGGAGACGAGAGCGGCGCTCAAGGCTTTTTCTGCTAAAACAAAATTACGTCCATTGTCACTAAGTACGCGATCTGGACGTCCACGCCGACTGATGAAACGGCGAAAAACATTGAGAAACGAGGCGGCTGTTAAATCCAATGTAGGCTCAATATAAACTGCTCCTGTCGTGAGGCAAGTAATTAAGACTAGCCAACACTTTACGAGGGAGCCTTGGACTTTAGTGAGTGTCGGACCAGCATAATCCACTCCAATTGACTGGAATGGCAATCTTTGCTGGACTCGGTCTGCTGGAAGTGGTGGCATTGTTGGTAAAGCATATTTGTAGGAGTTCATCCTCCTACAAGCCATACATTCTGATATAACTTTGCGGATAGCTTGGCGAGCTCTTGGCTGCCAATAGTTGTTCAAGAACTCTGTAAGAGTCCAATCTACACCTCCGTGACATAACCGTGTGTGGATGTCTTTCATGATTGATTTCCCAACATCTGAATGTTTTGGGAGTAGGACTGGATGAATCAAACCCTCGGGGCCCTGACTATTCGTCAGGCGAGTTTGAAGACGCATGATCTTATTATTGTCGATTATGTGGCGGTATTTACCGAGTTCCTCGCCACACTCTTTCTGTTCCCATCTTATTAAATATTCTTCAGAAATTTCGTAGTCTCGTGTCGTGGGGACTCCATTGAAAGAAATGGAATCCAATCTGATGGATTGTGCTCTCTTCTTCCCGAGCACTATTTTGATAAACCGAAGGATGTATAACATAACGCGCCTTGCTTTACCCCAGGAACTCACACGTTTCAATAGTTGATGAGTTCCATGAGGGGTCTCTGTAGCCGCAAGGCATATTTGTGTATTAAAGGGATCTTCTTCAGATTCCTCAAATTTATTGAGGTCGTGGTTCGTGAATGATTGGAATGTGATATCCTCAGGCCAATTAGCCTGTGGCTGAATGAGCCAGTCCGGTCCTCTCCACCACCTTAGGTCGGAACGGAGCTCGGTGGGAGTGGCTCCTCTTGTTGCTGTATCTGCCGGATTTTCATCGGTCCTTACATAATGAAAGTGTATATCTTCGTGCTTCTTAATTTCGTTTAGCCTTCTCTGGACGAAGGTTGGTTGATTTTGCGGTGATTTGACCCATGAGAGCGCTATTTGAGAGTCGCTCCATAAATGAACTTGGTCAATTGGTTTCCCTATCTCCTTATTAACGTAAGCCAATGCTCTTACGCCAATAAGTATAGCTATGAGTTCCATTCGTGGTATTGTGAGTGTTTTGCCACCCTTCTTAGGTTTAAGGCGGGTTTTGGCAAAAATAAGGTTAGAGGAGAAATAATTGTTATGCTCCCCTCTTATGAAAATAGCAACAGCATAAGTGCTTATAGAAGCGTCAACAAATGCGTGGATCTGTATCTTATCGTGTGATTGAAGGACTTTCCTTTGTAGACGAATCTCCTGAACTTGCCAACCCTGGAGGAAACTCTCCCAAACGGATTTTTCCTCCAAGGCAAGTGGAGTGTCCCAGTCGTGTTTGTCATCCCATAATTGCTGAAAAAATAACTTTGCGGGCAAAACAGCTGGACACAATAGTCCCAATGGATCGTAGATGCCCGCTAAAGTGCTTAATACTGAACGTCGTGTTGGATTGGGACTGATTTGACTACTCGGCCATTGAAATCCGAGCTCGTCATTTTGTATATCCCACTGCATTCCTAGTACCTTAACCTCTGATTTGTCAAGCCGGTCCTCGACCGGAATAGCAGAAATTGTCTCTGGTGAATTCGAGGTAAATTCTCGCAAGTTCATCTTCGCCTCCGAGAATATCATTTTGGCTTGATTGCACTTCCTAATTAATTCTTCTGGAGAACTTGCTCCTAAATGAAGGTTGTCCACATAAAGGCTACTTGCTAATTCAGTAGCAGTCGTCGTGCCGTATTTCTCTAGATGGTGACGTATTACTCCCGCCAGAAGGTAAGGGGAACAAATAACGCCAAAAGCAACTCTCGCAAAACGATAAACTTGTATGTTATCGGTAGATGGTGGTTTAACCGGGTCCTTCAGCCAAAGGAATTTGGCAACTTCCCGGTCTTCTTCGTGTAGGCCTACCATAAGGAATGCTGCCTCCAAGTCAGCAATAGCCACAAATTTTGGTAGGCGAAATCTGAGCAACAACCCTACTAGTTCTGGTAGGAGCACAGGGCCACGGAGGAGGCAATCATTTAATGAAGGTTGCCCTCTCGGATGTGCACTTGCGTCGAATACTGGTCTCACCTTATGAGTAATAACTGCATGGTGAGCCAGATAATGTTCTTGTCCTACTGGATTCTTTCGTGCTGGCTCGATTATCCCTCTTTGAAGATAATCGACAATGATTTGATGATATTTGTCTAAAAGGTCCTTTGATCGTGCAAGCGAGCTGTAAGTTGAACAAAGTCGACTATAAACCATTCTGTAGTTGCTTGGTGGTGTTATCTTTGGCTCTCGCCAAATCCCGCTTACCGTGTAACGCCCTTCGTTATCTTGGGCAATCGAGGACTCTAGCTGTTTAACAGCGATTTGGTCATCGTCAGCTCCGGGATCCTCTGTAATCCCTATCCCCTCCAAATTCCAGAATTCTTCTATAATATTGGAAGGAGGCATTTGGTCAATATTAGACTTGCCGATCGCTATCATAGAGTGTGAAGGTCGTCCTCCATATGGACTCATATCAGACTCCCCTCCAACTACTGGACCAAAGGCAGTCTGAATGACATAAATTCCTGGAGCGACTTCAGTTCTCTCCTTGAAAAACTTCCAAAAGTGTCGTGTTCCCAGCATAATTCCTGGGACTTCTGATGATATCTTGAGTGCTTGCTGGACTTCTGGGTGATCTAAATCTTGAGTGGGCATTTCTGTCGTCCATTGAACCATCTCGAAAGGGGTACTTATCTCCTTGGTCCAATTGAGTTCGAGCTCTTCCCAACCACCGTCCTCTCTTCTGATTGAGACGGCATATGTTGGTGAGCGGATTCTGATTGGATCTCTCATTGTTCCGCCAAATCCGTGTACTTCGACGTCGTCGATTGATATTTGAGGTGGACGAATTTTGTCCACTAGATCCTTGGTGATGTAACTTAGCTGACTGCCCGGGTCAAAGAACACATAAGCAAGTGTTCTGCTTTTCTTGTCTTCTGGCGATTCTACTGCCAATTTTCGTGTCATTAGGTACGCTGATAACTTTTTGCGCAAGTGAGGAAATGCCATGGCTGCAACTGTCTTAGTTGGATCACTCTCCGAGCCGGGAGGATCCTCTTGTGTTAAATTAGCTCCAGTCAACGGAGTCTCAATCGTGGTTGTCATTTGGGTAAACTGCCTATTCGGCGCAGTCCCCTTCTTGCTCGTCTTGTTAAGTCGTGTATGGTTCCTCGTTGTTGATGTGGTGCAGACGAGAAAACTATGTTTGCCCTGACAGATTCGGCATAACATAGGAAGGTGGCATTCCTTAAATGAGTGGCCCTCGCGCAGACACCTTATACAACGGTGCTGCTCCTTTAACCGGTTGAAACGCGATTGTGGCGTCGGGTATTTTGGACATTTACTTGGGAAGTGTGCTCCTTGATGACATAGGGAGCATTCTCTCTGTCCAAACTTCACAAATGGTCTATTCTTGTGTACGTGAGCAGGAGCAATGAATGTACGAGATTGCTCTTGCGCTCCTTGTCGTGCTTGGTAATTTCCTCTTCTAGAGGAAATGTGGTTCTCAGTCGTCTCAGTTCGTGTTTTGGGCGCTTGTGAGGTTGTACATCGCTGAACCTCTTCTTTGATTTCGACAATGTTGATAAGCTCTTTTCTGAGCTGAGCGCAATTCCAACGAGATTCTGCCCCTCGCTCTTTCTCTACTAGTTTAGAGACAATAGAGCGGGGCAACTTGGACTTGATGGCTGTCGATATAAATGGAGATTGATCGACAATATTGAAAGCTTCCAACTGACGGCAAATTCGTTCAATCGAATCTACGAAAGATCGAATTGAATGGCAGGACTCATTTGGCGGGCTCAGATTCATGAGCTCCGACTCTAGTGCTTCAGTGATGGCTCGATTATCGCCATATCGTGATTTGAGCAAATCCAATGCTCTCGTGTAATTCTCGTTGGATAAAATGAATCCCGCAACTAAATCTTTAGCGGGACCTTGGAGGAGGGTGAGTAAATAACTCATTTTCCTAACATTGTCCATTTGGCGTTGGTCGATGTTGATTGAAAATAATTGCCAGAAAGCTGGCCATTTCTTCGGATCTCCATTGAATGGCTCCATTTTGAGCTCTGGTAAACGTGTGTCTGGTAATAAAGGAGTGTCCTTGACCTTGTTTTCTCCAATGCTTTGTTCTTCTTGAGTTCGACTTTGAATGCGTTGTGACTCTCGTGTTCGTTCACTACGCTCACTAGCCTCTGTAATTCTTTCCTCCATTTCCAAAAGGAGGAAGTCTAACTCGCCTATAATTCCTCGGGCCTGTTCTGCGAAGTCCATGAAATGGACCCACACTTGTCCTTCCTGTACATTAGGAGGAAACGTATTGTACAGCTGCTCCTCAGCTTCCAAATCTCCTCCATCCAGGAGATCAATAAATCCTGTCCACTCGTGATCGAGAGTTTCTATTCGCTCAAGTGTGCGAATCAACTGATGTCTTTCAGCCCGGAGGCGTGCCGGGTTTTGTGCTTCTTGTTCATTACCCAAAAGGGTGGTTGCCGCGATAATATGATCCTTGAGGGCTCTCAGAGCTAGCCCAATTTTCCTTCGAATATGTCCTGAAGATGGCATTGTGATAAGCGATTATAATAATCTGCTTAAAAGCGTTGGACTAGCTAATTTAGTCCAAAAACGCAAAAGCTTAAGGAACTTGTGCCTTTAAGCTAAAAAAATAAACTCGCTGAAGACTGACTATCAAAGTCAGAAAATTGATGAAAATATGAGAAGAGAGCACTTTTGGTATATTTTGTGCTAAATTGATGTTTACCGCGACTGGTAAGTGGCAGCACAAAGTTCTCTTCTCAAAAGAGAAAAATAAACGCAGATGTGTGAAAAATGTAAATAAACACTAAAAATGTAAAGTCAGTCGCTCTGACTTAACGGTGTAATTGGCCGACGGGTTGGCCAAAACAAAAGAAATGACTTGCTCACAGAGCGAAAAGTCAGTGTTCTTTAAACTCGTGTTGCCGCGCTCTAAAATGCGCCAATCGTGTGAATGGCCAAAGTTATGGCCAAACAAAAGAAAAGGCTTTCGTGTCCCTTTTCTTCTCAAAAAATGTGCAAAAATGCACCAACTTGTAAACTTGTTGATTGGCCGATGATTTGGCCAAATAAATTCCTTTCTTGTTTTTCGTGTAAAATTGTGCAAAAATGTGCACAACTGATGAAATGTGTTAAGACCTAAGTTTTGGTAAACAAAGGAATGACTTCTTTCAAGAAAAATGTGCAAAATAAGCACAAAAAAATTGCTAGCAAAGAGCAAAGATTGAAATTGTAGAAAAGGGGATGAGCGGGTTTGTTCGCGGAAAAAACTGCGTCCTTCAAGGAGCGTGAATGTATGTCGGTCCGCTTGAGGGATCACGACTTTGCGCACTTTGTTGTGCGGGCTTGTGGGGTAAGGCTGTGAATCGGATAGTTTCCGACTTAAGGATTACTCTCCAGGAGTAATAGATGATGAACTCGTGAACTGCTGACTTGTGAGAAGATAAATGTTGACTTACTCTCCAAGAGTAAGTATTCGTGTGCTGCTGGCTGATGAGCAGATAACGGTTGGCTCTGGTGGCCAAAACCGCGTGTTCAGGATGAGAACACAAAATTTAGCCTAAAAAGGCAGACGTGTTGATTGGCACAATTGCCTGAAGAAACGGGGGCAGTGCGATTGGACTGCGGACCCGTACGGGGCTCCAATTTTTATATGTGCCCAAAAGCCCTTTCGGGTGGACACACAATTTGTACGGCCTCCGGCTATGGGAGGGACGGACGCTTATAAAGGGAGGACAGAGAACTCAAAAGTTCTCTTAAACTTATAAGCGATGATGACGACGACAGCCTACCCAAAATCCCCAAAAATACACACACCAAAGAAGAAAAGATTTATTTAATTAACAAATAAATTTAGCGGTCCGATAACAGCTCGGGATCCGCGGTGTGAATAAATTGGTGATTAAAATATGTGGTGAAAATGCGAACAAATAATTTAAGTTAGTGCTCCGCTCTCCTGCTCCCAGTTGAAGGGAGAAAAGTTGGTTTAATTGATTGGGTTTAAAGGAATTAGAAAATTATAAGATTTTGAGAGAAGTTGGAAATTGAAAGAAGGATTGAAAGAAGTGATTTTAGGGACAGCCGAGCGCTAACTTGACAGCCAAAAGTAGGCGTGGTTAAACAAAATAAATTGTGGGCGGTAAATAAAAATAGTACGTAAATATAACAATGCGAGAGGAATGGGAAAATAGTGTAGGGCTTATGCCCTTTTGGGCACAGGGTTAAAATCGCGAATAGGCTAAAAAGGGGTTAAAATGTGGAATCGTTAAAATATGGAATGGTCAAAATATGGAATAGGCTAAAAAAGGGTTAAAATATGGAATCGTTAAAATATCGAATAGATAAAATGTCGACATGGCCAAAATAGGTCAAAATGTCGAATTTTTTAAAAATATCGCCAAAACCTAGAATCCGGGCGTTACCGTAATACCGACGGTATTTTTCGGTATTCCGAGTCGGTAGTACAGTACGGAATTCCGACCGATAAAATTTAAAGGCTGATCGGTATTTTTCGGTATTCCGTACCGTATACGGTAGGGTACAAAATTTAGGTCTTAACTAAAAACTAGTGCACGCCACTCTAATTTTTCCGTATCAGGATCGCGTTATGTTTTCCGGATTCGTACGATCATGCCGGACCGGATCCGGTCTTGATTTATCCGGTCCGGTTTTACTCCATAAAATACACTGAACTCGGGCAGAAAAGATTACGCCGGACTATGACATACGAGACTTATCAATCAAATTATCAAAAATAAGTTGATAAGTTGATAAAATCATCTACAATCAACGTATGGCACTCATCTGACCCTTTTTTAAAAGAATTCGACATTTTGACAGATTTTGGCCGTGTCGACATTTTTACCATTCCATATTTTAACGATTCCATATTTTAACCCTTTTTTACCCGATTCGATATTTTAACGTTTCCATATTTTAACGATTCGGTATTTTAACCCCTTTTTAGCCTATTCGCGATTTTAACCATTCCATATTTTAACGATTCCATATTTTGTACCGGAGCCGAGAACTTTACAAGGCTAAATATCAGTTACCGTTGCCGCGTGAATATCTTGGAATCTACAAAAGTATGCTTATAAAGAAAGATTTTAGATCTACCGTATTTCCTCTATTAAAATGCCATGGCATTCTATAATATTTTTTAATCACCTTTCAGAGTGATTGAAATAGGGGGGGGGGCATTATAGTGATGGAGGACATCTATTAGAGATGAGGGTTATCTATGGTGGAGGAGACATTGATTATAAAGATAATATCCTTAAATAAACCGATTTAAAAAAATTATTTCTATAGACTAATTATTTCTATAGAGTAAATAATTTAAGCGACAACCTTTCCAAGAGCAACGGCTAATGAAAAGGAATTTGAAAGAGTTTTGAATGATCAGAATGAAGAGCTAAAAAAGATTATGAATGATGAACAAAAGTATGAGGAATATGAAAAATTGGGTAGCGATAAACATATTAATCATATTGAAAAAGTAAAGAAAGTAAAACCATACTTGGTAGCTTTAGAAAAACAAGTGGGAGATAAAGAGGATATGGAAGGCGGCCCAGCTGTCGCTCGTCCTTGTCACAAAATTAACGAAAACGGAGTTTGTAAAATTGATGTTTGTATGTTTTATTTTATTTTTAAATATTGGATGAGTTTGCTCCTAGCCGCTGAATAAACATTTGCATTGGCTAAAGTAGAAATGGCTATAGCCAGTTCTGCTTTCCCAATTACACAAATTGGCCATTGTTTTGAGGGGCGGTTTTTGTGTTGTTTAGAGGGACGTTGTTTTAGAGTGACGTAGTTTTAGAGTGACGTTGTTTAGAAGGACGTTGTTTTAGAGGACGGTTTTTACCCACAATGATTAAATAAACAAATTTCTGAATGCTAATTATTTTTACATTTTTAGCTGAATTTTATGGTCCATACAAACCAGTAAAGGTTGTAGGACTTCATTTGCAAAGAGGTTATTTACCAGCGTGTGATTGGATTAAGCCTGATGTCGAAGATGTTAAAGAATATGCTAAATTATGGCATACTGACAATAAAGAGGATTGATTATCCATCATGATATAGGAGTAGTATAAATACGATTTTTAAGACATTTTTTAAAAAATGTCTTAAAACATCGTATTTGAAAATGTGTTAAAAATATATTTATACATTTTTACATACTACATAATAATCTCGATATTTATTAAAATATAGTAAAACCTAAACCTACAGGGCAATTTAAAATAAATGAAGGGTAAAAAATTTAGAAAAATAAATTTAATGTATTTTTTGTTATTTTTTATTTTAGTATTTTTTTTGGAATTTTATATTTATTTTATTATTTTTTTGCATTTTATATCTATATTAATTTTTTGGTTTTTTATTTATTGTTTTTTTGATTTTATTATTTTTTAATAAGATTTCATAATCTATATGGGTATAAGCTTACGACCTAGGTAAAATGTAAGTTTCGCCGATTCAATGACAAATGATTTTACAGCAACAACAATATCTGAGCATGTCTCTTTTACAAAGGACCAAGCAGAAGTAAACACACCTGGTTCGTGGTACACTATTGTAAATGTTGGTCTGTATACCTGTTTCCATTCTTTCTCTTTCTCATCGTAAATAAACCATACATGACCAGTCGGGGTCCAAGTTATATTTGTAAAATTTGGTTGAGGGGGTAAATGTAAAACATGCTGGAAAGTGCTCGGTTTGGGCGTTCGTCGAAATAATGAAACTTTCGCCTCCTGAACTTTCCATATTCTTCGATATTCACAGTATACATACCCAAAAATAAAAATAAAAATAATTTTATTAAACATTTTTTATAACAATAATATAAAATAGAACATATCACTTATATATTTTCATAAATTTTCGGATTGTTCAACTGCTTCCAGTACATCTATACATTCAATTGGGTAAAAATATTGATGCCTTCT